TGATGTATGGAAGTGAGAGGTGGACCATAAAGAAGGCTGACCCACCGAAGAATTGATGTTTTTGAATTGTGGTGCTGGAGGAGACTTTTGAGAGTCCCCTGGACTGCAAGGAAAATAAACCTATCCATTTTGAAGGAAATCAACCCTGAATGCTCACTGGAAGGACAGATTCTGAAGTTGAGGCTCCAATACTTTGGCCATCTCATGAGAAGGGAAGACTGCCTAGAAAAGACCCTGATGTTCAGAAAGTGTGAAGGCAAGGGGACGACCAAGGATGAAACGGTTGTGCAGTGTCATCAAAGCTACCAACATGAATTGGACCCAACTCCGGGAGGCAGTGGAAGACAGGAGGGCCTAGCGTGCTCTGGTCCATGGGGTCACGAAGAGTCAGACACAACTAATCGACTAAACAACAACAACAACGGCAGTGAATATGCTGCTTATGATTGGAGTTTGAGCTTGGACTCAGGTAGCCAGCTCATGGTTCACTTAGCCTTCCATCCTTCCAAGGTCAGTAAATTGAGTACCCTGCTCACTCCAGCAAAGGGGGCAATGTGTAGCCTGCATAATTAAAATATGCTGCTTATGATCGGAGTTTGAGCTCGGACTCGGGTAGCCAGCTCACGGTTCACTCAGCCTTCCATCCTTCCAAGGTCAGTAAATTGAGTACCTTGCTCACTCCAATGAAGGGGGCAATGTGTAGCCTGCATAATTAAATTGTAAACAGCCCAAAGAGTGTTCCAAGTACTATAAGGCAATATATTAACAGCACACATTGCTTTTTGCTTTGCTTATTGGTGGCCACTAGAGATGGAGGCTTTGCATTCATATACAAATACGAAGCCCCCAGCACAGGTGGCTGCCCTGATTATCTCCCACCCTGAGATCCTACTGGACCACTTATTGCACAGCACACATGGCTGGCATTGTTGTCACCATGCCAATTGTGGTAGTAGATTGGCTGCTGCAACCCTGCCTCTCCGCTCGTCCAGCCACTCTGGGGCTGAGCAAGGAGACTTGTCCTCCTACCCCCTTGCCAGAGTGACTGGGCGAGCACAGAGGTGGGGCTGCAGCAGCTGAGCTACTGTCACGATTGGCGCAATGACAACACTGGCTGCTCCCATTTTAGTGGCCACTTCTCTGCAAGAGTCAGTAATCTATGTAGGGAAGATCCCCTAGTTCAGTAACAAAAGTTATTTCAGCTGTTCCCAATGCCTCATTAAATTTGTTACCATTCACATCATAGGGTATTTAAAGCGATGTAACAAGGAATTACTTGCCTCAAAACGATAATGAAGAAGGGAGTGTTATGTCCAAAATAAGGCTGTTTTAATATGTAGGGAAGATCCCCTAGTTCAGTAACAAAAGTTATTTCAGCTGTTCCCAATGCCTCATTAAATTTGTTACCATTCACATCATAGGGTATTTAAAGCGATGTAACAAGGAATTACTTGCCTCAAAACGATAATGAAGAAGGGAGTGTTATGTCCAAAATAAGGCTGTTTTAATACAACACGGAACTATGTAGGGAGGATCCCCAGTTCAGTAACAAAAGTTATTTCAACTGTTCCCAATGTCTCATTAAATTTGTTACCATTCACGTCATAGGGTATTTAAAGCGATGTAACAAGAAATTACTTGCCTCAAAACGATAACGAAGAAGGGAGCGTTATGTCCAAAATAAGGCTGTTTTAATACAACACGGAACTTGGTTAACTTGATTCAAGTACAGCATCTCAGACCTAAGTAGAAGACTCCTGGGTTTCTTTCCCATGAGAACTGTGAACCACAGTATCTTAAAGGCAACATAATGTTTTAAAATTAATTTCAGATGGTTTCTCTGTGATCCCTCCATAAATACAGGTAATACCTTGTCTAAATTGTAGATTTCTCCCCCACCAGCACAGCACAGATTCCTTTCCCACCAGCTCAGTTGTGGAATCCATTATTTGTACCCTAAGAGCCACTGGACTAGTGTCCTTCCAAAAGCATTAACAGCAGAGACCATGCTTTTTCTGATTTCAGTTTATGTAAAAATCTATGGTTTTTGAGTCTTTAAATATACATAGTGGCCCACAAATTAGTCCTATCATATTCAGGCAAGGACATACAATTGCAGCCTTTAGCAGCACACCCTCTATGTGTACATATGTGGAGCTTTTGCATGTTCATTAAAGGTTAAATACTGGTTGGGAGGGGGCTGCAGCTGCAGTTTATGGGAACTGAACCTTGCTGCCGTCTGAAAAGCATTTGGGTATATGGCAGGAAACCCCAAATAGTAGATGCAGTATTAATTAGGATTTACATAAGCATCTGGCCAGTACTAGTACTGTATTCCAATTGCTGCACTGCCCCTACAATTGGAATATCTGAACTGAGCAAGCTCTTACTTTTAAACACTTACCAATAACAACCCACCAAACAAAGCTAAAGAAGTCTTACTAGAAAAAGGATTAACTTGTCAGGTGATAACTTTTTTTTTCACAGTAAGGAACACAGAATGGTATCCAATGGCAGCTGAACAGTAAAACGTTAAATCTGCATGAGGATTTAAGTAAGCCATTTTACGCAGACTAATCTATCAGCCCATCAAAATGAAGAAAAGCAACAACAGATC